CTCTGACTGAAAGGTGAAAAATGGACCGTATGTCCTTAGGGGCCATTTGAACGGTGTGGGGACCAGCCGCTGGAAGCCATGGCTCATGTCTGTAATCCTACCTCTAAGCAGACTAAGGCAGAAAGTTCACTGAGACTTTTGAGGCCAGCCTGGGCTACATGATGAGTTCCAGGCCAGTGAGGGCTACAAAGTATGAGCCTGTGTCAGCAAATGTGTGTGGGAGGGGCCACATTCTTCTTCAGTGCTTTTAGGGAGGGAGATGTTTCATACTTAGGAGTCTCTTTCATTTGTTTTTATGTATTACATATATTTTTTTATTTGTATGAATGTTCTGCCTACACGTATGTATGTAGGCCGTGGTGTATGTAGGGTGCATGGGAAGTCAGAATAGGGCACACCAGATCCTCAGGCACCGGAGTTACAGATTTTGTGAGCCACTCAATGGGTGTGCTAGGAATTGAACTCAGGTCCTCTTCAAACAGCAGTATGTGCTCTTAACCATTGAACCATCTCTCTAGCTACTCACGTAGCTCAGGCTGGCCTCCTCCAACTCAATATGTGTTCAAGACTGTCCTTGAACACTCCCCTACACACACACCGCTTCACCTGCCTCCACTTCCCAAGTACTGGGATGACAGGCTACTACCACCATGCCTGACTTGTTGTTTATTCTTTTGGACTTCGGAAAAGCATCAGTGTCAGACCATGGACTGTTTCATTACAGTCCCACAGGGTCTGGAACGGCACTCTAGTCAAACACTGAAGAGACATCTTTGGACATTCACGCGAGGGAATAAAGGCAGCTGGTGCAGGTCCTTTGTCAGCTCAGTTCACACCTCTGTGCTAAATATATTTTGTCTTCAGTCCTCCTAGGCACTTGGAGTCATAGATAAAGAGGTGTAGACCTAAACAGATGCTGATGCTGGCAGGCTCGCTGCCCCGCCCTTCCGTGAAGGCTTCTCCACAAGCTCATCACCTGGTTACTGGGGAGAAACCAGGGCTCAGAGACACTGAGTGATGTGTCCCAAGCCACTTTAGTGGTGCAGAGGCAGGGTCCCTACCAGGTCCAAAGTCCTTGTTGTTATTATTATTATTATCATCATCATTATTATTATTTTGTCTATTTGTGACGGGGTCTTACATAGCCCAAAGTGATCCCTATGTAGCAGAGGATGACCTTGAACTTGGGACACTAACAGCTTCTACCGCCCTGTTGCTGGCTTCAGAGAGGTGCTCCACCACACCCTGCTGGGTCCACTAGGTTCTGCTCCACCTAGGGAGAAGTCCAATCCGTCTCCTTGGTTTGGTCAACTGCATTTCAATACTAGAGTTACCCACCATGGAACAAAGGGATGTCCATAGTGGGGCTCGTGAGTTCTGGGGTTTTTTGTTTGTTTGGTTGTTGTTGTTTTTAAATATTTTTTTTTTTTTTTTTTTTTTTTTTTTTT